AAATATAATTTTTATACAATGTTGTTCAACTTTCATACAATAGTTAAATAAATAAAAAAATATATATAAACAACAGAATACAATTTTTCTACAATTTTACTATAATTTATGCAGTATAATGTATGTCATGTCTTCTTCTTCTTCTTCTTCTTCTTCTTCTTCTTCTTCTTCTACTTCTTATTCTTCTTCTTCTTCTTCTACTTCTTATTCTTCTTCTTCTTCTTCTACTTCTTATTCTTCTTCTTCTTCTTCTTCGAGTTTCAATCTGAAATTCAGTCAAAATCAAGTCTAATCTTCACCAAAACCCCTCAAAATTGAGATATAAACTCCAAACCATATTCCTAATTATTTGCAACAACACCAAATCCAAACAAATAATAATTTTTGAAAACCCAAATTCGTATTCAAAGCTTCAAAGCTTTTTAATGACTGTCAATGGTGGAATTGCTGCTCTTTTTTCCTTTGCTTTACATTACTGAAATTTGGGATTGAGAGATAGAGAGAAACGAAGAACGAATTCTCAATTCTTTGCAACAATATCCAATCCAAACAAACAATGTTTTTGAAAACCCAAATTCGAATTCAAAGCTTCAAAAGTTTCTAATGGTTGTCAATGATAGAATTGTTGCTCTCTTGTGCAAGATACGTGGGGAGAGGAGGTGGGATATGGAGAGAGAAATGTGGGGGAGTGGAAGATATGTAGAGTAATTTTAGGACACTAATTATTATCATTAATTCCCTTAAAATGTACATAAATGTTAGTAATTGGATATATAAAATGTAATTATAGTAAAACTTGAGTAGAGGGTAATATAGTTTCATATAATGTATAGGAATGTAAAAATTCCTATTTATTAATAGTGAAAGATAGCCCTAAGTACCGTCACAGAGATAATATTTTTCAATTTTTTTTTTTTTGTAGTAAAGATAGATATTCTATTAAACAAACATATGCGTATAGAAGTCTTTATGCTCAGGTTGCACTACACAAGGTAAGCCATTACTACTATTAGCTATATTGTTTGTAGTTTCAACAAGCAAGTTATCATCACAACATTCTAAAATATTATGGTTTCTGATATAGCTTCTAGTTGCATGCACTGCAGGTCGATCTGGCAAGTCATATGTACAAAGTGGCAGCAAGCGTGTAGTAGATACACCAAGCTTATCTTCATCCTATATTGTACAAACAAAAAGTAGTGGTTTGTCAAAAATCTGCATAGTAGAGTTTCCATTCAAAAAGATTCCTGCATTTGCTAGTCGATCTGCTAATCTATTCTGCTCTTTGTACGCATGACCTACTATTGGATCATGTAGCTGCCTCAGTAGGTGCCTGCAATCATTTAGGAGATTAGCATGTATTATATTATTAACCTGCAGTAGCCTGAGTACCTTTTTAGCGTCGATTTCCACTTGGAGTGGTGTTAGATTGTGTTGTACCGCAAACGTAAGTCCCTGTAATAGAATAAGTATTTCTTTAGTAATAGGCGATTGAGAAAGTACTGTACCTGAGAAATCCAGAATCCAATTTCCCTTATGGTCCCTAATTATTCCGCCAATACCATTTTTATAAGAGAGTGTCAAATGTGTTGCGTCAATATTTAATTTATATAAGTTAGGTTTTGAAGGTATCCATTTTAGGGGTACTCTAATTCTTTTTTGTATTTTATAAGACGAGGCGACTAGATAACAGAATTCAGTCGCTTGTTGAGTAGTGAAATTTTTATTAATGAAATCATGTCTGCCCTCATATATATTTTTATTTCTAGTAATCCAAATATTCCATAGACTTAATGGTAAATAAGTGCGCCCATTTAAGTTGTATGGAAAAATTTTCTGCTTATAATTTAGCAAAGGAAGTAGCCACTCCTAGGGTGTAGGATAAATTAGCAGACTATTTATATAATTCCCCATACCCAACGTATTCCAAAACTTTTTAGGGTTCGCACATGTAAGAAATAAATGATTTAAGGATAATTTTCAATTGTTGATCGACATAATAATCATGTATGATCGACAAATTCTTTCTTATTTAGTTTCCCACAAAATGAAAAAAGATTTATGGCGATCTGAAAGTTATGTTCGATATTTTATTTCCTATTCTATTGCGCTATGAATATGAAGTATCATTATACCCAACCTCTTTCCAAAGTGGTGTTTAAGACACATGAGCGGATCCAATACAACGGAATCGTGTTTAATTGAACCCATAACTTTCGGTGAGGATAAAAACCTTAAAAAGTAATGTTTTTCGTATTTTCTTGAAAAACAAGTAGTAATCTTATTTATTTTTTGGTGTTTGGTACGCAAATTAAGAAAAATAATTTCTCAAGAGCATTCATAAATAATTTAAATACAATAAACAAGAAGCCATAAACTTTCGAACCAACAACCTTCTGAACCCACAAATTTCATAAACTTTTGAAACCGTGAACTTTCGAACCCGTAAACTTTATAATTTCTAAACCCGTAAACTTCCAAACACATAAATCTTCGAACTCATAATTTTAGAATTTGTAAAATTTCGAACCTGTAAACCGAAAGATGAAAAAACTAAAACTAAAAATATATTAAAAAAATATTTTTTTGGGGGTAGGGGAGGGGTGGTGCAGAAAAACAAAAAAAACAGAAATTTAAAAATTAAAAAGAAAAAGTAAAACTTTTTTTTGTGCGGGGTGGAATTTGGTGAGGGTGGGGAAATGAGTGGTGCATAAAAACGAAAAAACAAAAATTTAAAATTATAAAAAAAAAAAAGATAAGAACAATAATTTTTTTGCGGGAGTGGGGTGAGGCTTACAGGGTGGGTCGTGACAAAAAAAACTAAAATTTGAAAGAAAAAAAGTTTTGGAAAGAGGGGGTGGTGGGGTAAGCGTGGGATGGGGTTGGATTGGTGGGTGTGGGGGTGAGGAATAGTGTGGAGTTTTGAAAAATGTAAATATTTCCTCCAATTCAAGAAAAATATTTTTTATTTTTCAAAACATCGAAACCAACCCACACACTCTACATCCTGTATCCGCTTACTCAGTGTTTAATCACTTACTCCCGGCGATTTTATGTCACACACCATGATATTTTGACACATTTCAATAAATTAAAAAATGTTTAAAATTACATTAGGACCCCTTAAGTCGCCCATTTCCCACTTCTTTGTCTTTCCAGCTACCACCACCGTGGCAATTTGTGTTGAGAAACTTTCTTCAATAAATTAAGATCTTACGAGAAAATATACTGGTAATTAAAGGAAAATTGAATGTCCAAACAAAATTTTCAGGAGAATCATCCAGAAAATTCGATTCAGATCTGATACATATTGAAGTTTAAAAAGTTGAAACTAGAATTGTAGGGGCCACTCAATAAAGAGAACCCCTCCAAAAATAGGCGTATGCCACTATTTGCAGAGCGCACACGGTATTCTTTAGTAAAAGGCGAAAGAATAGTTCGCTTTGTGCTCACTGCGTGGCTGCGTGAATTGTGTAGTGCTTGCGCTGTCAATTTATACGAAACAAGTAGTTTGGACTTACTCTATATGTTTCGATGTGGGACGCACTCATTCTTTCTCCTCAACTTCTATGTATAAACTCTTCTTCTTCTTATTTCTTCTTTTCATCATTTCCTTCACTTAAGATATGATTCAAGACCTACATGTTGCTGGTAGAAGGGATTTTATGTGGTTCCCCATCTCCTTCAGTGGCAATGGTGAATTTAGGATTTTAATTCTAGTTCCGAGTAGTAAACTCATTATATTTTTAAAGTGGGTTTATCCAGGGGCGGATTTGTATGCAAATATATGGGACGTATGAACCCATGGTATTTCCGTCAAACTAAGTATTTTATGTGCATATTTTTTAGAATTGGTCTAATATCTGCTGGCACACATGCTTCAAAGAGGCTAAATGATGCATTTAGTTTTCATGTTGAGTTATTTACCTAGAAGATCAGGGATCAAATCTCACTTAATATTTCATTTTCTCCTTTTTTTTTTAGTGGTGCACCCATGTTATAAAAATCCTAGATACGCCTTTGAGTTCAGACACACTATATGTTATAATTTTAGTGAATTTTTACACTAAATTTATATTCTACGTCGAAAGTATTGGGTTCAAATGAATCCGGTACAATAGCACTACATACACCTCTACTTCATTGTATGATACTTTTTTTTTTTTGCTCTTCACCTAATATTCGGTCCGACTAATCTGGATTCACACCGTATAAGGCTCAATTAGAGACGAAAGTGCTCTCTGTATATTAAGATCTTATTCATTCCTATGGCTCGAAACAGACACCTTTCATTAAGATAAAGAAATCTTATTCATCGGACCTTGATATAGTTAAGAACTAAGAAGTGACTCATATCTTGGTAAATTTAAATAAATAGATGCTCACAAGTTGATGATCAAGTGCTTCATAGAATGTGTTGGACTATATATCTTGAATTTCCAATGCAGGTTTTGATGACTTTTAGTTTTTTTATACATATGGAAAAATAATTTAGAAGTTAGATATGAACCCATTGATTCTATATCTTAGATTCGCCTATGTAGTATGCAGTTGTCGATTGTTTATGTTAAATCTTTTTAACGTTAATGACTTACTTTAGGCTGGATTTGAAGTTATTCTTCAGTTAAATGATGTAGTATTAGAAATACAGAGCAAAAACATGGAAACTTATCTTGAAACATCTGCAACATTGTAGTTCTGCTGGCGTACAACAAAGAGAATGTAAGGACATCCTATTCGACTAAAATTAGCAAAGATTTCGTAGTGAATCGGCTGGAATAGTCCAACAACACCTGCCCCTGCCCCCCATTCCCCGAATCTGAGTGACATGGTTAAATCTCAGTAGATCGTAGAGGCAAGTCATGCTCAAGAAAAATGAGCTTTGGCAAAACTCTAAAAGATGGGGAAGGGAAGAGGGACCTCCTGCGCTTCGACGTTCGAGGTGCTAACTGGATGAAAAATTTATAATCAAATCACCCAAATAGTTAGAGCTAGAGATATCCAACTCAAATTTACAAGGTATAGAATTACTTGATGAAACGCATAAGTTTTGCCCAAAAAAGTGGGTACACTACAGTTAGTACAATATGTATTCTACAATGATATACTTGAACTCAGCTATCAAGCTGCATAATACGCAAAGCTAAGATCAACTTTACAATTCTCACACTAACAAAAGAAGTTGTAAACATCGTAAATACAATAATCTAGGTATACCACATAGCAAGCAGATAAATTAAAAATGTTAAAACTGCAATTTAGCTCCATTGTTAAATGCTAAACTCCAACTGCACCTAAGTGCTAGCAACCATGCCTAAGAAACGATCAGCTATCATCATCATCATCATCAGAATCTAGAAAGCTAAAATTCATTCGTCCATCGAGCTTGATGAGCAATGTTCCTCTATTCTCCTCAGTCCATTCAATACGTTCTTTCTTCAAAAGCGCAATTACCTGCAAATAACGACACATACTTTACAGTCACTGTAGCATGGTACCAAGATAAGCACACAAAGAGTAGATTCTTGTATTTGCCGTTTTTCCTATGATATTACAGGAGACCTTCAACGAAAATATTCTATCACATATTTGAGTTCAATGCTCAAGGAATCTAGCAACAGAAACTTAAAAGAGGAGGAGGTGGGAACTTGAGTTCCATACCGAAGTTTTCAGTTTTGACTTCCCAACACCATGCATCCCACATCCTGTGATAACCCTAAACAACCGAACAGCTGAGCACAAGAAATGTAACAACAGATTATAAATCTTCAGTACCCACTTCTGACACAAAATATCATAGCTATACTTGACCCATTAGCTCAAAGATGCTTACATCGTACATATGCTCCAAACAGAAGGTGAAGTTTCATAAGCCTCATTGCTGGTTTAACATGTTGCCCATGCAAATCAATAGTTATCATGTTTTCTATATTCTTGTTTCTGCAATGGGAGCTCAGTTTAGCAGGGAAATCTAATAAAGCATTGAGATGATATTAGAAAGAAAAAAAAAACGATATGTTATCCACCTGGCTGCAAATATATCCTGGCTAGCTTTCTCATCAGCCTCTTGAGCCTTTCTGTTATGTAGCCAGCCCTGAAGTAGTTTCCAAATAAGGAGAATAAGAAACAAACATATATTAGCCTCTTGTGATAAATGAAATATCCAATAGCTACTGTTTAAGTTTTGTAAAAGGGAGGCTGGTAGGCATTGCTGTAAATAGTGCTACTACTAGATGCCAACTGAATAAAAGTTTACTTACCTTAAAAAAGTTAAAAGCACACAAAAAAGAAAAGTTAGAAAGCTACTGGAATCCTTATAGTTTCACAAGTGAATTTCAGTGACAACTTTACCAAGAACTGTACAAGGAATTGCATGTCCCTATGCAAAACCAAGCAGAAGGCATAAAAAAAGAAAAATGGAGATGCACCTTATTCATGTTGATACAAAGTTAGATAAGCAAACGTAAACAGCTATCATCCTCATTCCATTTTAGTGACCTAGTTCCATAACTTGATTAAATTTCATTCTAACATCAGACATGATTTGTCTATTCCTTGGAAATAAATATTATGCGTTTAACTATTCAAAAAAATAAATATTTTAGGCAGCCCGGTGCACTAAACTCCCGCTATGCGCAGGTCTGGGGAAGTTTCCACTTTCCACGGCTCGAACCCGTGACTTCCTGGTCACATGGCAGCAACTTTACCAGTTACGCCAAGGCTCCCCTTCCAAACAAAAAAAAATTACATTTAGAAAATCCATTAGATTTGCCGGTCACAACCAAAGTTAACACAAAATAAGGCAGGCTAGCAGAAGAGAAAACAGATATATTTAGCCAAACTTTATGAGCAATCTATCACATAACAATTACATCACATAGAGCAAAAAGTGATGAAAGTTGTATGTGAAGAATAAAACATACTCTCTCTTTCAATTTATGTGAACCTTTCGGAAAACGAGGGTCAAATGGACTAATTTTTGCTGTGAATTCGGACATCGAATTTTCAATTTTTTAAAAAATAAAGTTTACATATTCAGAAACTATATAAAAAGTACTCCTATAAGTCACAATAGTTAACAATCCATAATATAAAAAAAGTATTTGCAAAAACGTGGTTTAAAAACACCTTGTTTGACTCCCCAAATAGTAATAGATTCACATAAATTGAAACAGAGGGAGTAATACTTTTCAAACAACGCAGTTTAACAATAAAAAACTATATCTAACATGAAATCTTGCCCAACTAGCAACAGTAAACATTGAAAATGGAGGAAAAAGGAGTCAATAATCCCTTTATGAGGCATATTGCATCCAAGACTCCCACATTTAGTTTACCTGGTCTGCAAGATAGGCAGCATATTCCTTCTGGCCATTTGAAAAAGCTGTTGTAGCCTGCAATTCAGTGTAAATTTTCAAGCTCTTAATTTGAAAACTTGAACATATCAAAAGAAGTATAAGAAAAAAGAACATAACACAATGAACTTATAAAATATGCACACCTTCTGATAATGGGATTTCATTGACTCCCAGTGTTGCTTTGAAGCTTCACGGAACAGATGATACTCAGCTCCCTCAACTGTAATAGGAGAGAGATTCAAAGTAGTAAATAAATGGACACGATTTCTGCAAACATCTAAAACCTTGCAATATGTTCCACCATGGAGATGGGGGCGGGGGTGGGGGCAACGGAGGAGGGAAAGAGGACAACAAATATTTATCCACAAACAAAAATGCCTGGAAATATTGTTTAGTCTTTTGGTAGCAACAGTGGAACTATGCCATCTCTACATGAATATTTAATAATTTCATTGACTTAAAACCATTCTGTAATACGTATTCTGTAAAAATACTTCTGCAAGAAAAAATGACCAGTCACACATTAAGAGAGACACTCTCTAGTAGGCAATCAGAGGTTAAGTGATGAGTGCAGTAAGAAGGTTTATTCTGAAGAACCATGATGATAAAAGAAATATCTGAAATATCTTCAATGTCAAAAAATGAATCCAAAGTCTCAAAACAAAAATCTCCTGAAAGTTAAAAAAAAGTCCAAATGTGTTTAAAGTGTTTACATCTGAAAGAAACCAAAATACGCATAGAAAGAAGTTGTCACAATACCATGGCTATGCTGCGGTGGTGGACTATCATTAGGACAAGATTCAAACCTTCGTCCCAAAGATGTCATTTTCTTCACAACATTCTTCCAGTTCATAGTAGTTGGTTCGTGCTCAGCACTCTTAGGGGTTGGCATATTAAACAAAGATTCCAAGATCTCATGAGGAAGTTCTGGCCCAGAATTTCCTGATGCAGATGATGAAGAATGCGTGAAGTTTCCTGCAAGACTTTTTGACTGATTCCTGGAGAAAAACAAACAATAATTTAATCCAACACCAAGGCTTCTAGAATTAACTTCCAACTGAAGGAACCACCAAAGACAAGAAAGACTGTTCGACTTTGGTACAGATCACTAAACATCATTACGTAAACATAAAAATGTTCAAGGAACCAAGATCCAACATACCAAAAGACCTCTAGAATGAACATATTACCAAATCCTAACATAGCTAATTTATTTCTTTGCCTTGCCATATCGTCACATCCTGTTTCTTAACAAAAAAAAAGGATATCATTATAACCGCAATCAAGATAGAGGTCTCATGTGCACATACTTCTGTTTCAAAGTCATTCTTTCTTCTTCTTTTTTCAATGACAGTGGTGACCGGGCCAGCTTGCGAGCACCTTGACTACTCCATCGGCGTATCTTCTCTATCAATCCTTTTAGCTTTATGCATTAGGCATTGTAGTTGGAGAATATAGTGTTCTACATACTTGTGTTTTCATCCAGTTTACTAGACTTGATTTGGATAAGCATTTAGCTTTTTTATATTAGGACATATATAGCCGATATGGGAGTATGGTGTGGCCCCCATCCATCATTTGTAATCTTTGTTATTTATAAGTAAAGCAATCCACCTAACGCTCCAAGGTTGGAATTAGGCTATTTGGGGAAAAAAATATATGTCCTTAACCTTCACCCAGCTTCAGGATCTATGTCCAACATAAAGGATTCTGATAACGTAGAAAAATTGAGAGTAATTGAAAAGGCACATGTCCTGCTTAAAGGACAGAAGGGGAATTATCTTGGAATGTGATGCAGTATCTGCTATATTACCTGCCAGGATGCCCCCAAAACCACACATTATCTTGAAATTCCCCTTCAGATGAATGAGACGTAGAATCAGATGTCCTATCAGTAAACTGCAAGAAAATTGTCACGGAGCATCAGATCATCATTGTAGCGATCTTTGAAGGGCTTGTGGCCAATTTTATGGAAAATGGAAAACAAAAACTTTAAATGATTTTTTTTTTTTAAAAAGGCCTTCTAAGAAGGAGATTTGGTCAAATCAAATGATATTGTCTGAACTAAGTTATAAAAAGTTTCAACACCTTATGAAAAAAAATTAGAATATTGTTTCGACATACAGTCATTGGACAGCACTAAATGTCCATGGTCTTAAAACACTCGTAAGGCCGAACCAACCCCAAACAGACATCTAACAGGCAATTGCAAGATTTCTATTAGTTTGACAAAAAAAGTTCTGGTTGTTAAAAGATAATTTATTCATTTCCAGAAACAAGTGTATATTGGTAGGTATTTACAACGATAGCAACTTTACAGATTGTGTAAGGTGCTTAGAAAGTCTAACATGGCTTCCATGTCATTTGCAGTTGCCATGTTACACCACTAAAACAATAAAGAAATACATCTGCTAGCATGAGACCTCTTTTCTCTTCAACAAACACACGGTTTTCTTTGTAAACCACTTTTTCTCCTCCTCTCGTTCTTCTCCTTCTACCAAAATGATTGCCCAAAACATTTTGGGAGCAGAAAACCCAAAACCCCACTACCAAGAAGTTCAGCTGAAAGGTAGCCATTTCAAATGACATCAAGCTTTTCGGAGACTAGGAAACATAAATATTTTGAGCACAGTAAGATTAAGATGAGGGAAAATATGCCAGCTTACTTACTAAGTTAAAGCAATGAGCTAATCATATGCCGACATACTTCATTTTTGTGGGTTGGGTTCGGGGGGGGGGTTCTTTTGTTCATCCAAAATCAAATCAAAGGTAAAACCTTCATTACCCCTAGGTAGCAAATTGATCATGTTAAGTTTTACTACATCAAATCAGCGAAAAGTCAAAATTTAGGTGCTTAAATCCATAGCTTAGTATCTGCATAGCAGGACATTTTCATATTTTTTTAATGACAAAATAAAGACATTAATTCAATAAAATGAATAAGTCAGCTTTCTTGGTTGTTCAGCACTGTCTATTTTACATAAGAAAGCAGTGCCAGCTTTTACGTAGGTATCTTCAGCAATTCATGGTATAGCTTCCTTGCTTTTTTGCTTACCACAGTCTACAGACAATTATTCACAGAGGTATTTGTCCATCAAATTTATACCACATGCAACCTAAAACATCAGAACCAAGAGAGAAAGAATATATGCCATAGAGAATGATAAAGGGGATATAGAGAATGAAGCTAAATAGTCAGCGAGAATAAAATGAAATGTTGGTGGTATTTGAGCACCAATCAAGAATGCAGAAAAACTATAATGTTAGCCAAAAGGATAAAACATAAAATAAATGGACTGCAGAAGAAACGAAATTAAACCTACACCATCACTTGAATGAAGAGACACTGCCTCTTCTTTGTTGCTTGCACTATAGTCGCTAAACTTAGGTTGCTCATTAGAGGAAGCTGACAATTCAAGCAAAACACTCAGAGCCTGGAAGAGAAGCACGAGCATTATGAAACCAAATTAAAGGAGAAGAAATTAAAAAAAGTGAAAGCTGTGAAAATAGAACTGCAATAAGATTATACTATAAAAAGAAATCATAAGAATAGTTAAACAGCTGGCAGTCAATAGTTCTTCCATTTGTATTCCTCCAAATTTTAAGTCAGATGTCAAAGCATCAAGTTATGATCCGCAGAACCAGAGGCAGACCTAAGACTTTAACGCGATGGGAGCACCATTTTTCTTTATACTGTGCCCGTTAAAGGCTTTAGGTGTTCAGGGTGCTACATATCATCGTAATCATTTTTAAGACATAGACACATACATTTACAAGATGGCTACCAAGCTTGCGAGTTCTGGTGACCTCTCACTGTTACCAGTAGGTCCGTCTCTGCGCAGAACAACAATGAGGAAGCTGACAATGATGGCACAAGAAATGACGAAAACACTAAGAGAGTCACAAAAATATAGTAAAAACTCAAACCCCATACAGGACACTACTAAACTATGAAAAATAGAGAGAAAGTGATGCTTCAAGAAAGCCAAAGTGCCACGAAAATGGCAGCAGAGAACTGTTAGGGACGTCAGTTCAAAGGAAAGTTGTTGCTTCAACTTGCTTCCATAGGTTAAATGGCAAAGAAACTGTCAGCAGAACAAAATGTTCTAGATACAACATCAACCCTCCAGGTAGACAATCTCGACTAACTACGAGTACACTGATCGGGAAATGAGCTTCAATACAATATCAGACAGGACAATCTACAAGAAATTGTCACTCAATTTTATGCTAACCTTAACCAACCAAATTAATCTAAACTTACAATGAGCAAATCTAGACAGACTGCAATCCTATGCCTCCAAAATCAAAAGCAGGATTTACTGGGATAAAGATTGGTCCAGTTTTATGCCAACAGATTGTGCCGCATGAAATTGGACTGACTGATTTAAATTATGTAATACAAAATGACTAAGTTTGCTCTAGAGATAGATTTGCGCATGGAAAAGACCAACCTTGAACTTCAGCCAAACAACACTTGAACTTGAATAGCAATTGGGAAACTAAATCATGCCCAACAGTTAGCTAAACTAAACGAGATTAGATCTGATTCATATCTTCAAATTCACAAAAAGGACCCAACCTTTTGAAATGACAAGTATTAATGGCCAAAGACAACCTCAATGAAAGGCAGATGAAAACACCTCAAATCTAAATGACAAGCTTTGGTTTCCAACACCTAAAGATATTTATGACTGTATAATAAAATGGCAATCTTACTATATAGGAACCAATTATAAACACAACGTGAGAACAAGACTATTTATGAGACCTTCACTAGAAAATATCACAACATATGGTGATACTATCTGAATTACAGTAAACAACACCTAATATTTGAATGAGGAAGAAAAGAATTGGATTCAAGCCTCGGTCGACTGAAAAAAAATTGATTTGAAACAAATGGGTAAAGTTAAACAAACTACCTTCTCAACTTCGTATCCGCATTGACCTGCATTAAACGAAATGTCTAGTTACAAGGCCATTAATCAAGTGAAAAGCATCTCCATTTATTTTCATTATAGTTCAATATATTTTTCATCAAAAAATTATAGTTCAATATGCTTCTGACCTGAGTATGACCACACAAAACTACACTTAACCTAATCTTGAAGTTACACTTCTGATGCAGCAGAATTTTTCTCAATTTTACATTGTGGACATTGAGATTGAGCCTTCACACAATAACAGAGTTGCCCTTTCAGTGACCTGTAGGTGTGCCTACTCACCCCCCATGGCCTGGGGACACTTCGAGCACGAGGTAGGTCCTCTTATGATACACATTGGGTTACTTCCACATGCTTTTTATTATTTTTCTTCAGTTTAAATGATAAGGAAGAAATAACGCTCTTTTCATCATTTACTTCACGATAGATAGCCATACAAGTGTATGTCTAAATTGTTATGTCAGCACACAACAAAATCAGTAAGATACTGAATTCAGTTATGATACAACCACAGAGGTCACTGTTGATTTAGCACATATATTACCACAACCTCCACCACACCAAGACATGCATTGCACCTTCCACTGTTAACATAATTATGTTTTTCTTTTCTTTTCTTTTCCCTTTTACTTCTTTCACAAATTTGAAACTAAAAGATAGCACTCACATAGAACATCTCTGACAACAGCTAAGCTCAAAGCAGAGTCCTCCCCAAGCATGGAACACAAAAACTGCTCAACATCGTCATTGCTCGCCGTTTCATCACTTAAACCCTTGAATTTTGAACAACTCTTCTTCGGAATTGACCTCACGTAATCCTTCCCTATCATCGTTGAGACTGTTCCTGCAGCAGCTACCAATTTCTTTGTCTTAGCCTTGCGCTGAGACGAATTCTGCAGCGATTGACCCCCAACAAACATGTCTGAGTTGTTACTCGAATCCAAGCTCGAACCGACATTCCCACTCGAGCTTGAGCAGCTCGTGATCTTGTCCTCTTCCTCACGCTCCAGCAAATCACTCAGAATATTCATCGCTTTATTCAAGTTTCCATTTGCCTCTTTATAAGCACATTCTGCTTCCTCTACAGATACAGAGCTAAACGCATCCGTTAAAACCTTTAAAACACTACTCTCCCCTACTTTGCTATTATCAGAACCATTAACAACATCGCCTTGTTTAGAAGCTTTTGATCTCTTCTTCTTCTTCTTCTGGTGCTTCATTTTCTAGTTAGTTACTATCATATACAACAGAATTGCTACAACATTACGCTACAAGCAAAAAAAAATACAACATTCATAACTACTAAAGCTGAAAGCGAATAATTTACGAGATTTTGAGCTTCTAGGCATATACTTGTGAGCAATAATTACTCATGTAGCTACTATTTAGACCAAAATATATAATAAAATTTTCGAATTGATGTTCGAGAATCTCCCAACAAACTGAAACATGTCATGAAACCCTAAATCAAGAGACGAACCAAAGCTGAATCGGATCAATCGGTTGCTAGGTTTTGAGCTTCTGGATATGAAAAATTACACATGTAGCCACTATATAGACGAAAATACGCAGCAAACATTTTCGATCAAAGAAAAAAATTCAACTCATCAATAAGGAGATCGAGGTTCTTCGAGAAGCTTCTGAGAAACTGAAATTTTTTCATGAAACCCTAAATCGAAATTAAAGGATGATGACATGAGATATTGGAACAAAAATTGCAGATAATGGTGAAAATGGTTGACTATTGGCAGAGAATGAAAAGGAGGAGGAGTCCTGTTTTGCAAGTATTGCGGTTTCCAAATTCCAATACCAGTGAGAATCTGATGAAACGCGTAAAAGGGCAATTGTGGAAATTTAGGGGGAAAGATCTGTGGGACCGGATGGAACTAATAGGGCAGAGAATCGTGGACTAGATTTAGCCTCAGTTTTATTAGGTACGCCACGTAATAAAAGAATTTTGCTCAAAAACTAAAGTAAATATTTATTATAACAATGTATTTACTGTTAATTATTGCATAACGACTCATTTATTATTAATCATCATATAAATAATTCATATATCATAATTCTTGTGTAACAAGTATGTGAAATACACGATCTTTTAGCTCTTTTGATCTATGTGGCACATAAAATCACCTCAAATTTCTTAAGCAGGAAATTGTAAAATTGGTGATATAAAGTCAACCTTAATAAAAGAAATTAATTTTCTTTTTTTGATAAAAATCCAAGTAATTTTTATTTGATTTTCTTATAACAATGGAGATTGGATCATCTTGCACCTACCTTAGTCATTAATCGGTAGTTATATATTATCTCCCTCAAGCATATGTATATGTTAATTTTGTTCATCGGGGATTGGATAAATGTTTAGGGAACATAACGATAAGTATAATAATTTTTTTTTATTTTCATCGTTAGTGATCTCATTTACAAATTACAACAGTAAGTAAAATTAGTATCATGAGATTGATAATTAGTTACTTCTAATTAAACTTTTTTTGTTGCTTTTATACTCCGTCGATTCCTTTTAAGCAATTTTCTAGCCTTTTAAACTTGACCCAACAGAAGCGATTTTTAAGAAATCAAAAAAGTTTATTTTTTTCTTCAAAATTGCTCTTATCTAATAAATAAGCTAATTCTAAGAAGTGTTTGAGGAGAGATAAAGGTTCTTTGAATGAAATAATCCACTTAATTAATTTTATTAAGCAAATATTTTTTAATGAGTGTATCAAACCTTTAAAAATCAAAAGGAACCGAAAAAAGTATTAAAAGAAAAGAACAATTCCGTGCCGGTGAAACTTTATAGAAAAACCTCCAAATTTACAACTTTACCGATCATTGTTTCTTAAGTATATACCATACTTTATTTATTATATTTTAGATATATAAACTCTTTCTTCTGCTTCTTTTCACAACTACCCCATAAGTCCATAAAATATTTAGTTTGTTAACTTTAAAAAATACAAAAGGTCAGGAACATATTTCTCTTTGTTATCTTCAACTTTTCCTTCTTTGTAATAGATGGATTGATGAAGTTCCATTGATTTTTTTTTTGGTCAACTCCATTGATATTTTCAATGGATAAGAAAGTTTGGCTTATTCCCTACTTTTTTTAGCAACTTTTGATGTGCCACTTCTCACTTTCCATTTGGTTCCAACTTTGTCCCTCTACCTGACATATACACGAATCAAAAATCCTTTTCAAAAAAGCTAGTTTTGATACTCTTCATATTTTATCAAAAAGACTTTTCAGGAAGATAACTTTTTTACAATCCATTTATGAATCTTATCTCACTATTTCACTATCATATTGTGTAACTTCAACTACTACCTAACCTCAGAGGCGGATCTAGGATTTTTAGTTTATGGGTTTTTACATTGATTTTAAATTAATATATTATAATAATCAGACTAAAGAACTGGGTTCCCAACTAAATATTCTTATACATTGAATGATTTTCTTAATACAAATACGGGATCTAGCCAAAAGCTACTGGGTTCCCGGAAACCCATACTCACACCTTTAGATCCGCCCCTGCCTAACCTAATCATTTGTCATCATCTTGCATTGGCCATTTAATTAGCACGGTAACTCGATGTTTATGTGAAATTATATCTAATTTATTATGTATAATTGATTAAATATAATACAATAAAAATATGTTGTTGAAAAAATATGACAGTATTGACAAAGGAGAGCATAAACAACTTATCTAATACAATAGTTTGCCATGGCAAGTAATTGTCTTGAAAGTGATTTAGGCCCGACTCGGATGCAAATCGTTAAATTAAGTTGGTTTTTCCCCAAATTTTGACATCAAGTCAAATTAAATACATGCACTCGTGATTGGAAGTTTAAAGTTTATAGAGATATAATTGCCCAAATTCTTACTGAGAGGAAAAGAAAAAGAACAAGAGAAAGAGAGAGGAATGGTTTTTCTAAGTTTTGCAAAACTAGATTTCTATTAGGAATATCTCTCGCGCACAGGGAATATTTATTCACTTTGTCTTCAAGTCCATATTTCACGTGCACGAGTCCACTCCCTGTGAAGTATTATAAAAGCATATGTTCATAAATATGTTATACATCTATTGATTTACTATAAATACCGACGGCATGTAAATTAAACTTTTTCCAATGCTCCCTAGCCTCCTCCGTCTTTTCAAGATCGGATGGCTTCAATCTTGATCCTTCATCATTCTGTTTTCCCATGTGACATAAAACACAGTACTAGTAATTAATCTCCTTTTTATCACGAGGAAAACATTTGATGTGGATGCTAAAATCCACTAGCTGAATAAAAAGACACCAACAATATATAATAAAATTAACCTGTAACAATTGCGAAAACAAACTTGAAAAATCCAATTAGTTCAGCAGTAAGTGACCCGAAAAAAAATTTACGATCAATACACCATCAGGTACTCCGAATTCATAATCAAGCCCTACAATTGACCCTCCAAGAAAACTATCACCAGCTCCTCCTGGATGAACTTGATTCGCACGAAAGCTGCAATTAAAAACTATTCATCCTTTAAATATTTATTGCACCCTTCTTTCCCATTTGCCACCACGTTGTGCAACACAATTTTCTCACTTCCTCAATAATACTATAGATAGAAAATTTTGGACTTGAATTTTCAAAGAACAAGACCTTTGAACGTATTAAGCATAGATTCTAGATTCGCCATTGCACACACATATATTGCCTCCTCATCCCAATTTCTGGCAATAAAGCCCAAAACTTTGTACCCCTTTAACTCAACTAGAGTCATGTGTTCCATCAACCGGGTTGAAGACCTTAATTAAACCTTGGATATCTACAAATACTGCTTCACATAAAGTTTAAAGTGATATCTGCCTTCAAATTATAAAAGCAAGTATATAACATATATTGTGGTAATAACAAGATCCTTTTTGAAGCAAACTTTTAACGGAAACGAGCTTAAACTAGTCCAATCTATTTGTTTGAAATACATGAGACGTTATTTTTATTATCAAAATTCTCCCACGACTAACGACATCACATGTGGACCTTTCATTAAATGATGTGGCAATTTATCATTGGGCCACTTGGCTCATGGGGCTATAATAAAATTTGAGCATTTTTCGATCCATTTAACTAATCTGACCGCCTTTTATTATTCGGGTCATTATTTTTTACCTTATACCTACCTATTTTAGTCGTGTTCTTCCCCAATTTAGGTCTTAGGTCATCAGGTATGCTCATATTAACTTCTTCCCTATAATTTCTCTTTTTCAACTAATTAATTATTGGTCTTTTTTCCCTTTTTCTTGCGTTCGTTTGTAAAAGTTGCGCCTTTATTTATTAACAAAAAATTCAACATGTTTGAAAATTCTGTCTCTTATGGTTTGTCGTGTCGTTGTGGTTTAATTGCAAATCATTTTATGGCTAAGACTCCTTTGAACGGTAGACGTAGTTTCTACAAATTCCCTCATTTTGACGAGGAAGCTTCATGTGGTTTGTGGGAATGGCAGGATGAAGAGAAGCCACCACATGTGACGATGGTAATCAACAACTTGAATACTACACTGAAGTCCGTAAAAGTTGAAAGGAATCATTTGAAGAAGATGGTGGCTGACTTGGAAGAGGCTGTTTCTGCTGAAAAACAGAAAATGGAGAAAATAATGGAAGAGATCGAGGGAATTAATTCAGTCAACTTAGAGAATGTGGCAAAGGACGGAGGATAAACTACAAATGATAAAGCGATTTATTATATTCTTCTTGGGTTGTCGTTGTGTTGGTGCTTGTTTTTAAGATGATGTAGTGTAGTTAGGCCAATTGATTCAAAGATTGTAATTCTGCAAATTTTGTTGAAGGTTTATTGTTGTTTATTGTTCTGGGATGTTGCAATTATTGAAGTGTTTAGTGATGTTGCAGTAGTAATAGTACTTTGGTGGTATGAAATATAGTTTTTGTTGAAAGTATAAGTCTCGTATATATTTTTGCTTACAAGAAAAATCAGTAATAATGGAATGGCAATATAACTAGTACAGTATAAGAACATAATCATCTCTTATAGATAAGAACAATATTGCCAGTAATGGAGTTGCAAACATACACTATTTCAAGTTTTAAGCCCAACAAAATATTGTTATTAGATAAGTAAACGTGTGATCCAAAAACTTGTATCACTATCACAACATTTACTTGTCTAAAAACCTAGAACATCAACAAATATCATATAGTCAAATAGTCTTATAAAAAAATGTCTACTACATTCATCATTACTTGTTACAGTACTCCCTTGTTACACTAATCTCCTTTGTCCCTCCCCTTGTTTCTTCTAACTTTAAGTTTTCCAATCTTTTTCTCTTTCACACTCAATATTGTGACTACCCGATAGGTCTTTCGCAGTATTAGCCCTTATTTTCATATTTTGAAACCCTTATTAGCTTCATTTAGTATTTTTAATTTGCGTGCACAATCCGTATCTTTTCCCGAAACGTTTTTATGTAAAAATTTGAAGAAAATATGATTTTTGGCTTTAAAAATTACTTGAGTTCATTACGGTTAATATTTTGTGTAAACAATGTCGGATCAGTATTCTAACAATTTCGATGGGTACGTATTATAATTTTGGACTTGGACGTTTGCCTGAAATTAAATTCGGAGGTCCCTAGGTTAATTGACTTATTTTGTCGAAAGCTAGTAATTTGAAGATTTAAAATTTCCTAAGTTTGACCGTAGTTGACTTTATGGTTATCGGGTTCGAATTTTAGTTCTGAGACTTAGTATAGGTCCGTTTTGCTATTTGAAACTTATTTGTAAAATTTGGTGCAAATCG